TATTTAAATAATATCGATAATTATAAATATAATAAATAACGTACCTTGCCTATGACAGTTCCGTCAGAACTTGTTATCGGTCTTTCAAAAATAAAATCAGTCTTGCGAAAATGTTTTTCGCATACTGCGTCTCCTGCTTTCAAAGTGATATCGTCACGTAAAATTGCAATTTGCCACTTTTTAATTGTTTTTTCGTCCTTAGGTACGTAATAGAAAAAGACTTTTTCGACAGGATTTTTTTTCCTTTTATAACCTGACACACAACCCACTGCCACACACTTCACCATTATACGTTAAACAATTTTAACAAATAATATTCTTTATAAATAAATAAATATTAAAAGAAAATTTATTAAAAAATTGTGTTAAACGTATTAATTAATTAATTCAACAATAATAAATTACAAAACAATTCTAAAATAACAACAATAACATTCAAATGCAGCAGAATAGACAAAAGTCGGGCCGAAAGGTAATCAGCGCTCCTATTTGGTACTAAAATTTCTGTTCAACATTTTACCTACTGTCAGATGGGGAGAGTCACCCGGGTGGTACAATCGTATGTCTTTTTAGCATGAAACTTGTCTATGCTAATAAAGTTTGTCATATAGCCTCTTATTACATACTTATTATACTTTTAATCCAACGGCGCCATGCGAAGATCGCACATAACATCATCCTACTATGTTTGCATAAGTTCTATGCTTTTTCGGGGATAGACTCTTGCAACTGGCGATTAGGCCACGCCCACCTTTACTTAATTGAAACTGCCCTAATCGCCAGTTGCAAGAGTCTATCCCCGAAAAAGCATAGAACTTATGCAAAAATAGTAGGATGATGTTATGTGCGATCTTCGCATGGCGCCGTTGGATTAAAAGTATAATAAGTATGTAATAAGAGGCTATATGACAAACTTTATTAGCATAGACAAGTTTCATGCTAAAAATTCTCAAATCTTTGCTCTATTAGTATGAAAAGTTTAAAGAAAAATAGCAGCAATCTGGGACGCATGATTTGCACCCAAAATCCATTACATTAAATTGTCAAAGCATCGAGATTTATTACATTGACTCTCCAATACATGGATTCTTCAAAACGTCGACTGACCAAAACATCGACTTGTAAAATTATCGACTCCTCAAAACATCGAATTTCCAACTGGTCGAATTTCAAAATGATCCATTTTTTGCAACGTCGATTCTTCAATGCATCTTACAAAAACACTGATATTAGAAAACGTCGACTCGCAAAAGCATCGACTTTTGTTTACATTGAATTTTTAATACAGAGATTCTCCAAATTATCGACTAACCAAATCATCCATTTGTCAAACTATAGATTTGCTAAAACATTACATTATTGCAATACATCAATTTAGCAAAACACTTATTTTCTAAAACTTTGACTCGCCAAAGCACTGACTTTTTAATAGATTACCTCGTCAAAAGAACGAATTTTCAAATCATCGATTTTCTAATGCACTAACCTGCAAAAGCATCAAATTTCCAATACCTCGACTTCCGAGTACATCGATTTTTTAAAACATTAACCTGTCATAACATCAACTTTCCAATACATCTACTCGTCAATGCATCGACTTGTCAAAGCATAGAATTTTTAATACATAGATATGAAAAAGCATAGACACTTTTTTGCATTGAATATCCATTACATCGAACTTTTTTTTTCACTAGGGTTTACTCTCTATGTTGTTAGTAGGTAAGGTAGATTAAGATTGTGCGGGAAATTTTAAATTAATATAATATTTAATTATGTTTATTAATAAATGTTTTTTATAACATTTAGTTATTAAATATTGTAAATTTCATTGTTTTCTGTTTTTTTTGGTAATATAAAATCTCTCAATATTAACAAGAAAATGATATTTTTATTGATTTAATAATATATACAAATTATTGTTTTATATGTTTCTCATAGATGTCTCTACTTTACCAGTTTAATGTACTAAAACTGAAATAAATATATTTAGAATTGTATTCCATTGACAAATTGCCTTTCTTTTTTAAAATTATTCTCTTTTAATAATTTCTCCTTATTTTTTATGAAATATATTTAATAACTAAATGTTATAAAAAACATTTATTAATAAATATAATTAAATATTATATTAATTTAAAATTTCCCGCACAATCTTAATCTACCTTACCTACTAACAACATAGAGAGTAAACCCTAGTGAAAAAAAAGTTCGATGTAATGGATATTCAATGCAAAAAAGTGTCTATGCTTTTTCATATCTATGTATTAAAAATTCTATGCTTTGACAATTCGATGCATTGACGAGTAGATGTATTGGAAAGTTGATGTTATGACAGGTTAATGTTTTAAAAAATCGATGTACTCGGAAGTCGAGGTATTGGAAATTTGATGCTTTTGCAGGTTAGTGCATTAGAAAATCGATGATTTGAAAATTCGTTCTTTTGACGAGGTAATGTATTAAAAAGTCAGTGCTTTGGCGAGTCAACGTTTTAGAAAATAAGTGTTTTGCTAAATTGATGTATTGCAAATGTAATGTTTTAGCAAATCTATATTTTGACAAATGGATGATTTGGTTAGTCGATAATTTGGAGAATCGCTGTATTAAAAATTCAATGTAAACAAAAGTCGATGCTTTTGCGAGTCGACGTTTTATAATATCAGTGTTTTTGTAAATCGATGCATTAAAAAATTCATTTTTTGACAAATCGACGTTATAACAAGTCGATGCTTTGGTAATTCAAAGCTATGAAAATTCCATGTTTTGGAAATTCAATGAATTAAAGGTGCTTATATACCTCAAATTTCGATCAGATGAACTTTATTTCTGGACCGTGAAAATGCGTGAAAATTCATTTTCACGGCGGGTATTTTTGAATTGATTTAAATAAAAAATGTTTTTTTAAGAAATATAATATTAAATAATTGTTTTAATACGTAAGAACACTTTAAAATAGTGATAGAAAGATGATTTGATTGAAAAATTTAGCAAATTTTGCTTTAAAACATTTTCTGTTACGAAAAAGTGTAAGATCACGATGTTTGTGAAATGGTTTGTACAGTGCTTCTTCGATGTGATTGTCTCGTTGTTTGTTTATGTTTTGTCGGCGTTTTTTTAGTTTGTAATAAATAATGAGTGCTCAAGATAAATCGGTAAGTTGAAATGTTTATTAAATAAATTTAAATTCAACTAATTGTTTCGAATAACTGAAAGAAACATGTACACATGTACACTGTACAAACCATTTCACAAACATCGTGATCTTACACTTTTTCGTAACAGAAAATGTTTTAAAGCAAAATTTGCTAAATTTTTCAATCAAATCATCTTTCTATCACTATTTTAAAGTGTTCTTACGTATTAAAACAATTATTTAATATTATATTTCTTAAAAAAACATTTTTTATTTAAATCAATTCAAAAATACCCGCCGTGAAAATGAATTTTCACGCATTTTCACGGTCCAGAAATAAAGTTCATCTGATCGAAATTTGAGGTATATAAGCACCTTAACAATTCGATGTTTTAATAAGGATATGTGATGGTAAATGTATGCATTGAAGAATCGACGTTGTTAAAAATCGATCATTTTGAAATTCGACCAGTTGGAAATTCGATGTTTTGAGGAGTCGATAATTTTACAAGTCGATGTTTTGGTCAGTCGACGTTTTGAAGAATCCATGTATTGGAGAGTCAATGTAATAAATCTCGATGCTTTGACAATTTAATGTAATGGATTTTGGGTGCAAATCATGCGTCCCAGCAATCTATTTCATACTATAAAAGGCAGATTTTTCTCTCCGTGTTAGAAGCCAAAAAACCGATTTTTGATAAAAAAAATCAGCTAATTTGTTATTGTAAAATTAATAATTTTTAACAATAAAAGACAACTCCCAGAGTTACCCCGAGAAACATCTCCTTATTTAACAAATGCATTTTCATTTTGATTCATTGGCACTCTCTTAATTTTTAATATTTTTGCATAAAAATTTAGAAAAATATTGTTAAAACGTTTTAATATTATATGGAAATTGACTAAACAAACTAACACTCTATGTATCGCTAAAAAAAATTCTTAAAAATATGAATATTTTCACCGAATAAAAGTAGATGAAAAAGCAAATTGTCTGGGTCCAAGGGACCCATAGCTCAGCCGTGCGAGGGTTAAAGCAAAATTATTAAATTATATAAATAAAAACGACTATTGGCTTTTTTTGGAAGCATATAAATTAGTTTTTCACGTTAGGTATATCATATGTGCAACTGATTTCTTAAAAAAAAAAATTAGGAACATGAAACTGTGCACTAGTCAAGGAATCACCCCTATTTCATTTAATGCTTTTTGAAAATTTTTTAAAATTCATTCTTTCCTAATTGCTATAAATCGTTAAACATTAAAAAATGTTTTATTTTTATAGGTTTTTCAATTCCAATAAATTATTTTGAACTGTATAAAAAAGGAATATATACGAAAAAATGTCAACTGAAGAAATTTAACTTTTAGAAACTGCTTGTCTTTCCAGAGATGAATGCAGTGTAAAAGATATTCTTTCCGAAACTGACTTTACTAACTGTATTTTGAATCCTATGAAGCATATTTTTTGCTCTCCAATGTTCTACTGAAGACTCTTTGTTCATCAATAAATTTTAAAAAAAGAGGATACAAGCACCACGATAATTTTCATCATGATTTCTGAACTTCTTGTGCAACATGGAGTCAAAATTAATGTCCACCATTGTCTATAGAACATACTTTTACCCTACTTCACATTGCAGTTTTAGGAGGTACTGAAAAAATAGTAAAAAAGTTGCTGTTGAAAGGAGCTGATGTTAATAAAGAAGAGTCTGATATTTTAACACCTTCGATGTTTACTTTTCTAAAACATTTCAAAAATATTGCTCAGTTGTTGATAAAAAATGGTGCTGATTCTGGCAATTTTGATGTTTGTGGAAACGAAACTGATACTCTACTTCACCTTGCAGTTACAACGAAAGATATAGAAATGATTGAAATTCTAGTACAAAATGTTACCGTCAATGAAAGGAATCATGACAGAGACACAGAGTTGCATCATTCTAATCTCAAAGAATATAAAAGTATCTCTCAGCTTTTCCTCGCAAGTCCTGATAATCCTGATAATCCTAAAAATTCTGCTAATATTGTAATGAATCGGAACATCCAGAAGTTTCTGAAGAACAAACTGTAACGCCACTTCACATTGCAGTCATATTAAAAAATAAGAAAATTGTAGAAATATTGTTATCAAAAGGAGCAACTGTAAATACATCAAACAATGAGGGGTACACGCCATTGCACTTTGCCGTTATGAAAAATTATATTGATATCGCTCAACTTCTGCTAGACAACGGCGCTGATATTGACATTCAAAATAACATTAATCGTAAACCTTTTTATTATTCCAAAGATCCATGTATGAGCAGCCTTTACAGTCTTTACAAAATAAAAATTTATCTCAATAATGGAGGAAACATTGAAGATAAGGATAACAATTGTTATACTCTATTGCATCTAGCTATAAAGTATAATTTAAAAGATGTTGTTCTTTTTTTACTGGATAAAGAATCAAACATAAATGCAGTATCAAAATTAGGTGAAACGCCACTTCACCTCGCTGCCAAAGAACGCAACAAAGAAATCACACTTCTTTTATTGGAAAAAGGATTAAATGTTAATGCTACTACAAATACAGGCTGCACACCTTTACACTTGGCAGCTGACTATGAACTCCCTTTTCCATTCGATCAAAAAGATGACTTTTTAAAAATTTTACTTCAAAACGGCGCTAATATTACAGTTAAAAACAACTTTGGTTTGATTCCTTTAAATTATGCCGTTAGAAGACATTGTACGTTGGATGTGAAAAGTCTTTTAGGTGAAGAACCTGACGTAACGATAAGGACCTTAAAATGGCATTTTGTCTATCATTTTTCAATCACTATAATAGAATAGATAATTGTTCTGGAAAATATGGTGCTAATTCACGATGCGTAAGTGAAATATTTGTTGATTTCGGTTTCACAGTTTATATTGAAGACTTTAAGGATATGTTTATACCTGAAAAATTGTATTCTTCTTGGCTATAAAAGTCAACTGACAAAAAATTTAGATCGTTTGTGAAAAAGCTTCTTCAGAAGCCAAAAACTTCCAATATTGAAGAATTAAAGAAATCTTTCATTGAGTTTGAAGTACTACTGGGTGCTGTCAGACATGGATTCAGCGATATTGTTCATAATTTATTAACACCTAACATAAGCGTAAATTGTCAATTGCAAGATGGATATACATTACTTCATTTTGCTTGTAAAGCTGAAAATCTAACTGTTGTTGAACAACTTTTGCAATGTGGTGCTGATATAAATGCAAAATCAAATGTCTCCACTTCATATTTCAATTAAAGAATTCTCTGTAGATGTTACGCGTTATGGTGATGTAAATGTTGCAAAAATTCTTTTACACTACGGTGCTTTTGTTAATGCATGTAACACCTTTACAATAGGATCAGTATTTGAAGCATTGGATGAGTTTGATGATGATTGTGATGAACGTATCCTTGAAATAATTGATCTTGTATTTAATTACGGTGCAAAAGTTGTGGATTTAACTCCAGAAATTTTTATTGTTGATCAAAGTCACTGTGCAAGATATCAAGTAAAATCTGTTGCTGCGAATTTAGAGAATTTTCATATTTCCGTGAATTCTACTGAAATTGCTGATTTTCAATCTCAGTGTCTTGAAGAAATTCAAAGGATGAAATCATTAAAAATTACTGGATTTAATATATCGATTTATGATTTGTTAATAAAACCACATAGAGCAATTGGTATGTACATGCGAAATAAGACTGTTGTTGAATTGTTAGATGCAATAAATTTCGAAGAAAAATTCCCTTTATATGCCGGTAAATTGAAAGTTTGTGTAATGAGAGGTAAACTTGAGTGTCGACTACTGGAATTAGCTTATCATTGTCTTGAAGTTCTAAAAGTGAAGTTACCTGATGTTGTCGTCTCTGAAATTGTTTCGTACTTTGACACTTCGGACTTACATCGTTTAATTATTGCTTCGCCTATTTCTAGCAAAAAGAAAAAGTCAGTTCAATATCACGAAGAGCTTTCTGAGTAATGAAACTTCTTTTATTTACTTATAAACTATAGTGATATTAGAAACTATTTTTGAGATATATTAAAAATATTTCAGTAAATTTTTACTGAAGTATAGAGATATTTTTATTTTTATACAACCGAAATAATTTCAGAATTCTTAATTCACTGTTCTTCTCTGCTTCTTCATCATTATTTCGAAGTTGTAAAAGTGAGGCTACCTGATGTATTTTGAATCGTTTCGTACTTTGAGACTTCAGTCTAACATTGTTTATTTAAAACTTCGCCTATTTCTGGTGAAATGAAAAAGTCAGCTCAATATTAAGAAAATGTTAGTTAATTTGAATATTGTTTATTTGTTCATTAATTTATAAACATAAAATGCTAAAAAATGTCAATATAAATATAAGTATATAATACATAACAAACAAGTAGGAAAATATTACACAAGTATAAAAATGTTTTTTTTATATATATAATACTATTCTGTAATGTAATTTTTTAAAAATTTTATAATTTATAAAATAAAAATTTACAAATATCTATTTTTTCTTACTTTATACAATTTTCTTTATTAAACGTATTCGATATTTAGGAATTTATTTAATCCTTTTTAAATAAGAAAATTATAATATAATTAAATTATATTTATTAATCATATAACTGGGTTCAAAAGAAACACAACTTCCTACGTTACTGCTTTTGAGTTACTGACGCCATTGCTTCCCCTCTAACTCTTCTTGTTGCTGCCCAACAAGTTTTGATAAACAACTGCAAATTACGGAGATGCAAATTTCAGAGGTTCTAGTGTAAATAAAAAATGATACATAATATATCTGCAGAATAAGCAAAAGAAAAGGATTGGCGGATTTGTAGTGAAATTTGTTAATTATCGGATTTTAATTTAATAACAACATTTTTTTATTGTACTTAAATTTACAATGAAATGAAGTTTATATATGAGGCATTGCCCTGTAATTATATATTCACAAAACTCATGTAAAAAATAATTGTCTACATGACAGGAGAAAGAAAATTTTTTAGTGCTCTGGGAGCATTCATGTGGGCAAGCCTGACATATAATTACAAATTGTACAGATTAATTTAAATTAATTATTCATAAAGATTTTACATAATATCACAGGCGATTTGTGATTTATGTGTCAATTTTTAAGAATTGTCAGGAAATAATGCCTTATTTAATTCATTTTCTAAATATTGATTTTTTAATTTTTGATCTTGCAATTGTAATCCAAATGTTTCTAGTTTATTATACATTGCTGTCATTTGATTTTGTGAGCTTTTAGAAATTTCTTGTACTGGTTTAATAATGTTCATTGTCAACGATTGATCCATGTAATCATCAATCATTAATAAGTCATTAATATCTGTATCATCGACTAATGATACATCATTATCTACTACTTCAGTTTCCATATTTGAATTAGTAAATGGTTGAAAATTATAATTCATAAAGACATTTGATTTAAACCACCATGGCAATGTTCGAAAATGTTTAATATGATTGCGATTATAAACAACTTTTAATTCTTCTTTCATTAAGTCAATTTTTTTACTAGTTATGAGCAGTAAAATATCAGGAAAATATACACGTGAACTGGTATCAATCATCACAAATAAACTATTTAAAATGTCACTTATCGATACATTGTGACTGAAATCCGCCATTGCTTCTAGACAAAAATTTCTAATAGCTTTTTGAAGTTGAATTTTGTCATAAATTGGCCATGGATCCCTGTAATATAAAAATTTTATGTCAATTCATTAATGGTAAAAAAATATGTACAAATAGAATTGATGACATAAGACAAATTAAAATTAAAATTATTACCTCCATTGTGGTACAATTAGTTGTTTCACAAATCTTTCCACCGTTTCTCTGTATTCAACATTTTTCCAAACATCATCAAAATATTCATAACTGCATGGCAAATTAAAATTTTCTTTTAAACATTGTTTTATTTCTGGTGAGAAATCAGTGTACAGAAGAGATTCTTGATCTAATATTATTTCCATCACATGCGTAATTGCTTCTGTATGTAAATTTATCACAAACTGAGGATCATCAAGAGCATTCTTTAGTTGACTGTTATATACAGAATGTCCTTCAAGTCTGAAATAAAAGCAAAAATATTTCTAACACATAAAATAAATTAATTCTTAAATATTGTTAAAAAATTGTTTTAATATTGTGTTTGCTTTCAATAATAGCTCAATATTATTTCTACAGAATAATTAAACTATTATTATTTTTATTATCACAAATTATTGTCGGAAAAAAATTGTCGAATTTCAAAAAAGTAAAATACTGAATTGTGAAAATTAGAAGATTCTAAAGGAATTTCAGGGTGTCTACTAAAAATCTGAATTAAAATTGCAGGACTTTTCCAGGACTTTCCAGGACAAATTTCATATTTTTGCAGGACATTAAATTGGATGACCATAGGAAATAAAATAATTTTTAGTTTAACTATTGTTATCAGAAATTTAATTAAAAAACAATTTTAATAAATATTACAGAAACATTAATAAAAATTACATTACATAACTTAAGTAAATTTTCATTTTACTTATTTAATTAATTTTTTTTACACTTGATTGACAAAATTATAAATTTTTGAAAATTTAAAAGCAAAATATAAAAAATTCAAGGACAAAAATTAAAATTCCAGGACTTCCAGGACTAGTAGACACCCTGAATTTCCTCCAAACTATTATAAAAAAAATCTATTGTTGAAATTTTCATTTGATGAAGAAAGGTGAATCCTAACTTCAAAATGTGATACTTATATTACATGATTTTAAAGTTAATATTAAAAAAGGTTATCTCGGAATAATTTAAATAGCTTATTAGGAATTCTATATTGAGTCATTTAATTAATCCATAATATAAAAAAACTACTTCAAAGTATTTTTATAACTAAACAAAATAAATTATTACCAATTAACAAAATTATGATAATTAATTTTCTAATAGTAATTTAGTTTATGTTAAAAATAGTTATTCAAATTCCAGCCCTCGGATTGACATTAAGGCACAAAAAAAGTCGAAAAAGGCGATTTTTTTATTTTAACAAAATTTAATTAGTTAATGAATATTTTACTTTAAATAACTAATTTTTTAGATATTAAATTCATTTTATTAAAACTGTAATGAGAATAATTCTATAAAAATATTATCAAGAAAATTTATTTCAAATATTTCAGAATCGAACTAATTGTAAGACAAACTTTCAAAATTTTATTTAAATAGGACAAATTTCTAAAAAAATTTCTTAAAGTTCCATTTTTATAATTTTTTGAAATCTGATTTAAGCATTTATTCGAATTAAAAATTTTGTCATAGTTTTTAGTTTTTATGGTTAAAAAAAATTTCAGGCAATAGTTAATCAAGTTTTACAAATTTTTAAATAAATTGTTTTTTAAAATAATAATTTTGGAAGAGTTAAAGTTTAAATTTTGAGAAATAATTGAATTTCAAAAGATTTTGTTAATTTTCAGAAAATAATTAAATTTTACAAAACTAAAAATAATTTATCAAATAATTTTAGATAACATTTTTTAAAAGTAATTGAATTTTCAAAGATTTACAAATTAGATTTTTAAAATTAATTGAACTTCAAGTGATTTTTAATTTAAAATTTTTGATGATTTCTGTTACTAAAAAATGTATTAAAAATTGCTGACAAAAATACAATAATTTGAAAACTTTTTAAGCAAAAAATAGTTTCAGATAGTTGAATTTTCGAAGAATATTATAAAAATCATTAAAAATAATTGAATTTCAGGAGAGTTAAAATTGAAATAATTAAATTTCAAACAATTTTAGATGAAAAATATTAGAAATAATTAAATTTTAGAAGCTTTTAATTTATAATTTTTGAAAATAATTGAATTTCAAAAGATTGTGTTAAATTTCAAATAATAATTATAGTAAGAAAAATTTTAGTGATTTCTGTTGATGAAGAATTTATTAGAAATCGCATAAAAAAATTGAATTCCAAAAGTTTTTAATTGAAAATTGCTTTCAGATAATTGAATTTTCGAAAAATATTATAAAATTCATTAAAAATAGTTGAAATTTTTGCAAATAATAATTAAATTTCAAGTGATTTTGAATTAAAAATTTTCTGTAATTTTATTTGCTAATTTTTTTTTAAATTATAAACAATTATTAAATTTCATAAAAATTTTAATTGAAAAATAGTTTCAGATAATTGAATTGTGAAAAATTTCATTAAAATTATTAAAAATAATTAATTTAGTTAAGAATTTTAGTTTAAAATTTGTTAAATAATTGAAATAAAGAACATCTGAAGAAAATCTGCATTTGTTTACTAATAAAACATATTTTGTTTAAAAAATTTGTAAAAAAAGTCAAAAAAGTAGCATTTCATTAAAATAAGTCGAAAAAAGACATATAATCCAAGGCCTGAAATTCCTAAAAGAAAATGAAATTAAATACCTGAACCATAATTCTTCCATTAAACAATCTTTCAAAACCTTTTTAAGATAGTCCATTTCAAGTGGCACTTGTGGAGATTTATTAACTGCAAGCCAAAGAACAGCACTTTGCGTCAATTTAATAATTGCATTTTCATCAATTGTATTTTCTAAGATAATTGTATATTCAGATATAAAACCGGTGTCCATTAAATTTTCTAAATCAGCTGTAATATCAATAGTTTCGGGTTTAATGTTGCCATCATGAAAAAGTATCACAACTAATGGTATGGGCATTAATTTATTTTTTGATAAAACAGTTTTTGTTAATCTTCGAACAATTGATCTTGATTCTTCAGATGTTGAAGCAATAAATAATAATGCATCCATGCCGGTTAAATTTTCTTCATTTGTTACACCATCAAAATTTCTAACACAAACATGTAAAGTTTCATAGGCATTTGGTTGGAAAATTTTCAAAATTGGATCCACAATTTGATCATTGCCATTTATATATTTACTTATAACTTTTTTGCGTTGATATAAAACCACTCGATTTTCTAATTTAGGCCACGATATAGCAAGTTTCCAAAACATATTTGGACGCGTTTCACTGTCAAATGATTTTATATTCTCCTTAATACCAGCGTAAATAACAACTTCAATTGGAACTTGATTATGTTTTTGTGAATGATTTGGTGATAATTTCAAACGTTTTCTACACATATTTTCAATAACTGCATCCTGTTGTTTAGAATATAATGATTTTGCACATTCTTCTAAACTTTGTTTTTGTAGCCAAATAGGTGTATTGTCTAATGCCTTTCGTCTTATTCTTTTTTTATTGACATACCTTCTCCAAAGTTTATAGTATTTGTCAGATATTCTTCGTTTTTGTTTTTCTTTTATGAGACGCAATGTTTTTTGAATGAATATTTCTTCTTTCCATATCTCTTCACAAGTCTCTTGTAAAATATCTTCAAATACATTTTCAAAAATATTTTCCGTCAATACTTTATATATGTTTTGCATTTCATTTTCAACAATTGAAGAACAAATATCTCGAATAATTTCTTCTTGTAAGGAATCATATATCTGTTCAGATTCTTTTAGAATTTGTTTTAATTTTTCTTCCTCTTCTTCTTCCTCCTTCTTCTTCTTTTCATCTTGTAAAATTTTTTCTCTTGCGTTTAAATCTGTACTCTTTTCTTGATGCTTTTGCTCTTCTTTTTCCTCTTTATTTTGATAGGGTTCTTTTACTATTGTTTTTGTAACACTTAATTCGCCTTCAGTAATTACTGGTTTACTGAAAGAAAATGGTGTCTTTGTTTGTGCAGATTTAAAGGGCGAAATCTTTGCTGATGGTCGGGAAAATATATCCTTATTTACAATATTAGTAAATGCAAATGTTGTATTTTTATTGTCAGTGGAAAAAATTGGAAAAGGATTAGATTTAGATAAATTCATTGAAGTAAATGGTTTTTTAGGTGACTTTGAAAATTGTGTTGAAAAATTTGTATTTATTTTCGATTTATCAGTTAGCGTGTTCATTTTATTATCACAAAATGCATCAAAATTAAGTTTACGCTTATTTGCAGAGATTTGAGTTTTTCCTATAATCTCATGAGTATTTTTTGAATGATAACTTTCAGTCTCATCAATAAATTCATATGGATCATTCTTTTCATATGAGAGAATTTTTTGATCTTCAGCTTTTAGTGATTCTTCAAGAAGATAGCCTTGAGAATTAAAACTATCGTGAGGTTGATGATTTTTATATAATTGTTGTGGTAAAGTTCCTCCTGCAATGCATTGACCAACGGATGAATAATCAGAATGTCGTTTGCTTTCAATTACATTAAATGCTCTAGATTGTTCAACACTATGTTCCGATGAACCAAAATGTTCTCTATTTAATAAAACATACAATTCATCTTGCGATAAACTCAATCCAACTTGTTCACAAAAATAAATAGTCTCTCTTTCATCTTCAAATGCAAGAATATCAATAAGTTCATACAATGGATATGGATAAGGCTTTGATATAGTTCTACAATAAGCCTTAACCATCACGGATAGTGCAGTTATTCTTACTTGATTAAAATATCTCAATAAAATACTTGCATTCAAATATGTTGTGTTTCGTAGAAGTTTGAAAAATTTAACATAATTATTTGACACTATCGACGAATAAACTTCAATGGCGAATTTAACTTGTGATGATTTTTGTATTGATGACGGTAGTTTTTGAAGATCCCACATAAAACTACCATTATTTAAATTCAATAATATAATGTAGGCACGAAATTCTGGTTCATTTTTACATGAAATACCTTTTAACATAAGATCATGATACATATATTTTAAAGTTTGTAAACATTTTGTTAAATTTTCTGTATTAATTTTCTTGTCAAAAACATTTGAATCTTCAGTACAAAGTCGTTCTGAACAGAAAATATGAAAACGTGCACACTGTTCAACTAATTCAACACTGTCGAGACAGCAGAGTTCTTGTTGAGTGATATCTTTACGAATTCCTCGCATTCGATCCCAGAGAAAATGATACCATTCTGCTAGATTTGTATCTGCTCTTTCACATAAATCAACTATTTCATGAAGTAAATAACTCATTGTCATCTTTAAAGATTTGACGGGTCTCAAATCATGTGGCATTGGCTCCTCTTGATCGGCCGATGATCTTGAATATTGTTTCACAGCAATCATATGATTTATTTTTAATCCCTTGTTATCTAATTGTTCATAAAACGATACTTGACGTTGAGTTTCACGCATTAAACGTTCTTTTTCTGGACACATATCTGGACAAGTGCCTCTGGTAATTTGTGCTGTTGCCAAACTTATTGATTTTGCCTGCATTAGTCTCATAAGTCTATCGCGTGCTTCTAAAATTTTATATTTATCCTCAGTAGTTAATGCAGCTTGACGAATGATATACTGTAATTCCTCGATGGTTGCTTTAGGTATGGAAGGTCCAATTTTTTCTACTTTTGCAGTGGTTACTTTTTCTAAGCGCAATGCTGCTTTATCATGTTTTATTTCTTTTGTTTTCATTATTCTTGACTTTGTAATGCATGTCAGTTGTTTCATTTCGTTTGGTGTTTCTTCATGTAAATTATATTCCAAATTCTTTAGTGCTTCTAATTCATCTTGATAATTATCATCGTCTCCTTTCAGAATACGAGATACAGTTGAAGTATTGGAGTCAACTTTTTTTGTTGGTGATTTAACTACTTGATTTGTCCATTGAACATTAAATTTTTCATTTAAAAATAAACCACATTTATAATAAGCAATGTTTGCTTCACCTTTTGTAACATAAAATACAACAATACTTTGTTTCTTTGGACGTATCAAAATTTTTGAAATATCTCCAAATGTTGAAAAATGCTCTTTAGCAACAGTTTTGTCAAGTAACGATTTAGGCACCATCGTACAAGTAATTGAATTTTCAATGTTGTTTTTCTGCTGCTGTGATTTAGTATTTTTTTTCAACTGCTCATATGTTTGTGATCCTGAAACATAAATATTTAAATAATGTTCAAAATATGAAAAAGAAAAGGGCGATTAATCAAATTAGTTCCTTAAGATAACTTATACTCCCAAGTTAATCTTTAAACATTCAATGAATCTTCGGGGAATTTTCGGTGCTGTGTGGGTTTATATTTCATCTTTTGTTCATCATGGTAAACGAAATAATCTTTCCAACAATTAAAATTGATGGAAAGGTACTAAAACATTAGTACAAATTAAACAATACTTAGGGATAGGGTTACACTCAACTCCATGTTTGATCCGCAGTGCATGCATTAGGATTTTGTCGCCCCGGGAATTCACGATTCCTTGCCATTGTTCTAATAATTTACTAGAGCAATCGACAATAACGATGGTGCTCGGGACCAACGATATCCGACCCAGGCAGTCTAGTAAAAAATTAAAAAATTTGAAATTTTTATATAATTTATTTATTAATTAATGTTAATTTTTAATATTTAAATATGTGCGCAATCAGATTTTGTTCTAAAAAATATTTTTACAAACTTTGGAACCTCATTAAAAAACCCTGAAATTTTCAAGATGGCATCTGTTTTTTTAAGCAATAAATTGACAAAGTTGAAAAAACATTGTCGCTGCACCGGTAACGACTATCTTACGCTGAGACACAGCGCGGATTGGCGTAACCGAGTTGTTACCGGCGCAACGACAATGTTTTTTCAACTTTGACAATTTATTGTTTTAAAAAAAAAAACAGATGCCATCTTGAAAATTGCAGGATTTTTTTTAATGAGGTTCCAAAGTTCGTAAAAATATTTTTTTTAGAACAAAATCTGATTGCGCGCATATTTAATTATTAAAAATTAACATTAATTAATAAATTTTTTTCAACCTTCAATCAAGGTTCGAGCTGAACCTTTAACGAATATTTAATTTAAAGCTTCACTCAAGTTTCGAGCCGAACCTTTAACGAATATTAAATTTCAAGCTTAACTCAAGGTTCGCGCTAAACATTTGCTCAAGTGCGGACATTTAAATATTTACAGAAGCTTTACTTAACCATTATTCTAAATACTGCGAACATTGAAAATAAATATTTAATAAATATTTATTAAATCTTCAGTGCTATGTGGGTTATCTAAAATAACTTTGTCCGCGATGCATTTAAACTATAAGCAATACAAATAATGAATGTTTTAGAGTAATGTATAATTAATTTAACAATGTAAAAATCTTTTAAGGGTAAAAAAAATCTTTAATTTATGTGTTTTCTCAAGTACTTTTTTATAAAATCATTTTAAATTTAGCGCAAAAAAATATAGACGGATATTCCTGTAACATCAAGCAATTTGAACCGTTCACTGAAAAAACGGCTAAGTGCTTTTGAAGCATTTTGCGAAAACTTATTTAAAATTTATTTGTAAATTATAAATCATTCAATGTATTACTATTTAATTTAAACGGGTTCAATAATGAATAATTTCAGTCAAACATTATTGTTTAGATGTTTGGATTAATACGATAATAAGCATCTTTTGAAAAACGGCTTTAAACGACTGAAGCCGCTTTTCTAGCGAACGGTTCATTTTATTATTTGAACTTTTAATAATTCCAGGAGATGATTGCGATGTTCTAATAAAAGATAAAATATTTGAAGGCATATTATTTGTCAATAAAGAAATGAAAAATATAATGGAAGCGTTTCCTGAATTTATCGGAGTAGATGCGACTTACAATTTTGTTATAGTAGAAAATTCGCAAGGTCAGACTGAAGTCGTAGCAGGATGCATTTTGATGCACGAAACAAAGGACAATATCCAGTGGTTCATGGATTCGTTCAAAGAAAAGCATCCATCATGGCCGAAAAAACGCGGGAAAAAATTTTCTGGTAATTCTTTAACATCGATTTGGAGATTTTACATGTTCCTAAATCTGTTAATTCTACAGATATTTTCTGTAAGGATTTAACGCATGCGCGAAAACAATGCAGTGATTCGACTAAAGCTGAGTACGATTGAGTGCGAGAGGTTAAGGCGAATTTAGTGTTTTTATTATTATCAAAGTGTCGGCAAGAAAGTGTATTTATATATATTTTGTTTAAATTATAATACATATTATATTGATTAATAGTTTTTCAATATGGACATATTTGTTCAAAGTCATTTAAAAGAATGGAACTTGTCTCATTTAATTGAGATATTTAAACGTAAGTATATTTTATATATATGTATATAACCTATAAGAAATACTCTACCAAATATATATTATCCCCATATACTATACATAATTTGGTCACTCAACAGTTTTTAAGAACTGTAGCTCAAACTTGTAGAATTAACAGATTTTAATGCAAATGATTCTACAAATTTCTCTATTTGGAGAAACATTAGTAGATGGCGCAGGAGTTTCTGTAAATTCTACAGAAAATTTCTTTCCGTGTAAGAACTGTTATGGTTGACAAAGATTTAAATGAACGAGATGTCATTAAAGAAAGTTTACCCGATGCAAAAGTGCTTATTTGCCTCTTCCATACCCAAAGAACTTTACACAGGGAAATAACCGCGGAGAAACTAGGAATTACTAATGCGCAAAGGGATTTAAGTAAAAGAATCATTCAGAAAATGATTTACTGCAAGAATGAAAATGAATACTCGGACTTATATGACGAACTCAAAGCAAATGCTCCCAAATCTGTCGTTGATTATTTTAACAAAAATTGGCATCACATAAGAAATGACTGGAGTTTTTGCGGCGAATTCCTAAGTACAACATTTTTAAATACAACGAATAACCAACTCGAGTCCTTGAATGGAAAAATTAAATCAATAGTGTCGAGATTCACAACTTTAGAAAGATTTCTAGTAGATTTCTTCATTTTAATATTTACTCGACATACAGAACACGACGTGGTAGCCGCTTATTCCTGCTTGAAAAGAACAGCTGTACCATTCACAATCGGCAGCTCAGAAGAGTTTTACAATAAACATTTAACAAGTTATGCTTTTAAGTTTGTGCAGCAAGAATTGAATAACAGATCAATGTACAAAATCTCAGGAGTTGCACCTGAAAGCGGAATATTTATTGTAAGTCGAGAAAACGGCAGTACATCTCGAGAGGTTAATGAGACAAAATGTGATTGTAATAATCACGTGTCCATGGGACTACCTTGCAGGTATTGATAAATATTTATATTATTATTATTTAAATATTAAATAAACATTAATTACTCAATAATAAGAATAGTTCATAGAAATATTTTCATAATAAATTTTATTTAGAATATTTTAAAATTAAATAAAGAAAATTTTTAAAAAATTTCAGATTCAATAAATGAATCGATCAGTCCTTTATTACATATAAAAACCAAAATGTCATTTTGTTCTTAAAAAAATCGTGAAAGTCGCAATGTATTAAAATAAGTCGAAAAAAGTCGCATTTATTACAAGGTGGCCACTAATATTTTTGAATAATATTCAAGACCTCACGGTATTTTCCCGCGGATTAAAACAAAATTTCAAAGTTCTTTAAATTAAGATTTTATTACAAAAGACATAATTATATATTAGTATTAAAAAGTAATCATTTTATTTTGATTTGTCAAATCACTCATTGATTAAAATGTTAATCGGCACTTGATTTAATTTATAGAAAGGATTTAAGTTTCAATTGACTGCTTTTAATGAATCTTAAATTTAGTTGATCTAAATTTCAATTTTTTCAAATTTTAATAAACTTAAATTCCCATCAATCCACAATTTCAACTGATTTTAATTTTAATTAATTTTATTGATGAAAATCCAAAATTTAATCGTTTATTCTATATTTAATTCATCAAAATTTTAAAACATGTAAATTTAAAATTTTCTTCACATTATGGAAATTTCAATTTAATTAATCTATATTTCATTTGCTTTTAATTTCAATTAATTACAAATTAAATCAGCCCCAAACTCAATCAAATCAAACTTCAATTGTTCTAAATTTTAATTAACTCAAATTTCAATTCATATAAATTGTAATCAATCTAATATTAAATTTATTTTAATTTCAATCGACCTAAATTTCAATTTATTCCAATTCTAATCAATCTAGATTTGAAATTATTCACGTTCTAATAGATTTAATTTATCCAAATTTTGATCGACTTCATGATTTAATTATCCAAATTTTAATTCATCTACATTTTAATTTATTAAAATTTTAATCAATCTGAATTTGAATTTATTCGATCTAAATTCCGAATTATCAAAATTTTAATCGGATTTAATTTTCAATTCATCAAAGTTTTAATTGATTTACATTCAATCGATCCAAATTGTAATCTTATTCAAATTTTAAACGATGTAGGCTAAAGCATGAATATAAGTAAAAAATAAATTTCAATAAATCAAAATTAAGATATTTCAATTTCAAAATTTATACTTAAAAATTTTTTTCTGGTAAAAAAATATTGATTTTAAAAAAAAAATAATAATATTTTAGAAAAATGATATTGAATAAAGTTTTTGAACGTTCCTTTTACTGTCCAATGCAATTTTCAATTTCTAAGATTTCGTTTTTTAAACAATCTGTTATAATATTCGTTTTTATAAATTCTGAGTAAAATTTTGATTCCTTCAAGAAACGTTTTACTCCAAATTATACTTAAAAGCTAATCAAGTTTCAATTTAAAAAAAGAATAATTTGTCAATTTACAAAAATAAAATTTTTTTAAAATTCAAGGTTCAAATAAAAAATAAAGGAGAAAAGACTATTTTCAAGGCTTAACTAATTACACGTCGTTTCCCCGGTTTTCAAGATTTCAAGGTTCAGTGGCCACCCTGTTATTTAAATAATTCGAAGAAAAAGTTTAAAAACTTGTATAATCCGAATCCTGAGAAATTCTTACTCTGATTATAAGACCAAATAATTGTAATTCTAAATACTACACTGAAAAAAAAGTTCTGGTTAAAGTTACTAGATGCGTTTGGTTAAAAAATTTCTATTTATTTTAACAAGAAAATATAGTTAAAAAGACTAA